CCTGGGTTCAGGCAATTCTCCTGCCTCAGCCTCCTGAGTAGCTGGGATTACAGGCACGCGCCACCATGCCCAGCTAATGTTTTCCATTTTTAGTAGAGACGGGGTTTCACCATGTTGACCAGGATGGTCTCGATCTCTTGACCTCATGATCCACCCGTCTCGGCCTCCCAAAGTGCTGGGATTACAGGCTTGAGCCACCGCGCCCGGCCTTGTTGTTGTATTTTTAGTAGAGATGGGGTTCACTATGTTGGCCAGACTTGTCTCAAACTCCTGATCTCGTGATCTGCCCACTTTGGCCTCCCAAAGTGCTGGGATTACAGGTGTGAGCCACTGCACCCGGCCAAAGTGGATATTTTCTAAAACAACAACATTTATTGGTAAAATATGACATTTTCCTTAAAAAATTTCAAAAGATGTTTAAGAATGTTCTCTACAGTTTAGGACATATTTTGAGTGTGAATACAGTTACCCAAAACATCCTATCGATATCCAGTGGGCTTCCATATTTCTTTTCCCTTTAACTAGATGCCACTCCTATTTGTGTCTCATCAGTGAAAAAGTAGTTTGGAGGACTTCTCATTCATTACCCGAAACTGGAGTTTTCATTTGTTTGTATTGGGGGATCCTCGCCTTAACTGCACACATTTCCCCTTCCTCTGAGTCCCAGCCTTTATCTACCAGGGGCAAAGTTGAAGCAGCCCCTCCACAGCACTGCTTAACCAGGTATGACATCCCCGTCCAATTCTGCTATCAGCGGCATTCTGCTCAGAGATCACCCTTGTTTTACCCCAAGCACAGGTAGAGACTAAATAAAAGGCAATGAAAGAAAGAAGAGCCCTGCCCAGAACCGCAGGCACGAGTCACAACAGGGCCCTGAGAACAGCCTGTGGCAGGAAGGATGGGTTCCAGGTATCTGCCTCCTCACTCAGCCCCAGCCTGTGTATGTAAGGAAAATCACACACCAGGAAAGGCCGACATTCTTTCTCCTGTTGAAACTCCAAGCCCAAACTGTTACTCTAAAGGAAGCGCAGTGCCTTTCAAGGCCTTCTAGTTCTTCCTACTAGATGTGGGTTCCTCCTCCTGCCGCCGGCCTGGGGGAAGGGGAGGGCAGAGGCAGGGGGCAGGTGGCAGAAGAACATGCCCATGTTTCAGAAAGCCGGTCCCACCCGGTGTGCCCCATCTCACCAGATGTGCAGGCAGCTGAGGGTGGCAAAGAGAATTCCCGCAAGGAAGGCCAAGGGGATAGCCAGGAACACCGTCAGGAACTTGTACATTACGTATTTGCTGATTTCAAAGAGGGCATGGCTGCAGATCCACACTTTGTCAAAGGAATGCGTAGTCACCGGCTCTGCGATCACATCCTCAAAGCCCAGCTGCGGAGACAGGACGCAGGGACCCGGAGCTGTCAGCCCACCTGCCGCCCCGGGAACCGGGAGCGCTCTGGGCAGGGGAAGCAGGAGGGCGTCCCCTCATCCCTTAGGGTCACAGTGGGTGCACAGAAATCTGGCTAAGCATTCCTGGCTACGCAGGCGGCCCGGTGGCGGGTGGGACCGGGAAAGAGCGTGGGTCTCAGACCCCGTGGGACCGACCCGGTGGCGAGGGTGGGTGGGGCTGAGGGGCGCCCGCACCTCCCGGCCGCGGCGGGGTCTTGGGCCCACCCGCCCCGGGCATCACCTTGAGATGCGAGTTGAGCCGGTGGGGATCCCGGTCCTGGCTCGAGTCCGCGAACTTCTCGGGGTCGGCGTACTCGAGGCCGCTGTGGTGGCTGTAGGAGTCGTCGTCCATGAAGAGCTGCACGTCCGCCTTCTCCGTCTCCAGCCCCATCGCGGCCTCGGTGAGCGGCCGATGCAGCCCAGCTGGCGCGGTGCTGCTCCCGATCCGCTCGGCCTCCCCTTCCCGTCACGCCCGGCCCCGCCCCGCCTCGCCTTGCCCCGCGCGGCCCGGGTGGCGGCCGCTTCCCGCTGCGGGCTCCGGCTCCCGGCGCGGCCGCCCCGAGCCCCGCCCTGGCGCCCCGCGGCCCCTCCCCGCCCGCCTCTCAGGCCAGGGTGCAGGGAACCCTCCGTAGGAGTCACAGCCCGGGCCCTGCCGAGGGCGGAGACGCGCTGCTGGGAGGAGGACGGCCTCCTGGCCACCCTGCTAGGCACCCGGACGCTGTTGCCTCAGAGCTGGCTGGTCGTCCCCGGGATGACGACCGCCTTCTGGGAGGTGGGGAGCCTTGTGGTTAGGAGAGCGGGGTACAGAAGCAGGTCTGGGCTCACCTCTGCTGTGTTTGCCGTGTGTGCTGCCGCCCACGGTGCTGAGCCTCTGGGAACCTCAGCTGCCCCTTTTGCAAAATGGGAGCTGTGGCACCTGCTTCATAGGTGTCCTGTGAGTATTAAATGTTAATTTCATGTAAAATTCTAACACACATGGCCCGTGGCCGTAACACACAGTTAATAAGCTTCCAGTCAACGTTGCTGCTGCTGTAAAGAGAGGTAAGGAGCCACAACGTACCAGAGTGCCAGGTGACCTGCAAGCGCATTGCTATCCCAGTGCCCTCAGTGGTGTGAGCTTGCTGGAGACAGGGTGTGCCTGCGGAGTTGGGTAGGTAAGCGCCCTGCTGTTAGAGTTTGTGCCTTCAGGCCCTGAAGGATGAGGGAAAATCTGATTTTTTTTACTTCCTAAATTATACCTTTTCCTCTTTTCTTTTCTTTTTTGACAGAGTTTTGCTCTTGTGCAATGACTCACTGAAACTTCCGCTTCCCGAGTTCAAGCGATTCTCTTGCCTCAACCTCCCGGGTAGCTGGGATTACAGGCATGCACCACCACGCCGAGCTAAATTTGTGTTTTTAGTAGAGACAGGGTTTCTCCATGTTGGTCAGGCTGGTCTCGAACTCCCGACCTCAGGGGATCCATCTGCCTCGGCCTCCCAAAGTGCTGGGATTATAGGAATGACCTACCGCGCCCGACCTACATCTTTTAATTATTCTTTGAACCAGACTGTGAGCCAATTAAATCTATTTTCTTTATAAATTACCCAATCTCAGGTGTTTCTTTATAGCAATGTGAAAACAGACTAATATAGGTAGCTACTGTTTTTCTCAAGGGGCTTAAACCAAAGTGATTCCCACAGCAATGGCATCTGTCTTTATGAACATAAAGGAAAATTTACCAGGAAAGGGAAAATGAAAGGAGATGAGTGGGTGCTAAATGGCTGAGCACATTCTCTATCTTCAGGACCACAGGATTACTCTCCGATAAGCACCTCCTACACACTTTCATTGCCCTGTAATCCAGAGAAATTAAAAAATTTATAATAAATTAATATTGGTGCATTTATCTTCTGACTGTTATTATGTATCATAGCTTCTAATAAGAGGGCTGTTTTTAGATGGTGTATTAATATATTTTAGAAATAACAGTATGATGATAGATTAGAATTTGTGACAAGGATAATTTATAACCATTTTGTTCCTAGCTTCTTTCAGCATAATGTCAGTGAAAGAAGTTTATTTTTCTAGTGCATTAAAAATTGTATGGCAATGCTGTTATGAATAAAAATACCTAATTTTTTTCCCTTCAGCTTTTTTTCAAATCACAAATGTGTCATATTTTTTTCCCTGTATAACTCATATACTGTTTTAGTCAGGGTCTGTTTTTCAAACTGCCTTTGAGTAAATTTGTATGAATGAAAATGCAGTAATAACTTCTTGATCCTACCATGTGTTTTAATAATATTTAAAGCATTCAGATTAGACCAGGGTTTCTCAATCTTAACTCTATCGACATTTTGGGCCAGATCATTTTTCCTTGTGAGAGAGGCTGTCCAATGCATCGTAGGATGTTTAGCAACATCCCTGGCATCTACCCCCTAGATACCAATAACACTCCCAGTAATGACAACCAAAATGCTTCCACATGTTGCCAAATGTCCCCTGGGGGACAACATCACCTTTCCCCTTCTTTCCCAGGCTGAGAACCACTGACTAAGACAATGTTGAAACAGTGTTGTGTCAATTAGAAAAATTAAGTTCCAGCTCTTCACTTAAAAATCCATGCTTAAGAGAAATATCAGAATTGTATTACCAATATATTAGAAACTCCAGGGCTAGGCATGGCACAGTGGCTCACACCTGTAATCCCAGCTCTCTAGGCAGCTGAGGAGGGAGAATCAGCCAGCCTGGGAAACACAGTGAGACCAGTCTCTACAAAAAATAGAAAGAAACTAGCCAGGTATAGGGACAGATGCCTATATTTCTAGCTACTACAGGAGGGTTTCCTGAGCCCAGGAGTTTGAGGTTATGGACAGGAGTTTGAGGGCATAGAGCAAGGCCCTATCTTAAAAAAAAAAAAAAAGAAATAAACTCCACGTCTTTTTGAAATTAAACTTAAGAATATTTGTCGTGTAAAATGTTCAGAAGAATCCATTATCATTAACTAGTTGCAAATTTTTCAATACAATGTTGGTATTGATTAATGAATGCATATTAACCCCCACCTCCTTCCCCAGAGATCAAAAGGAAGCAACTGCCAAGCCCTCAAGCCCTGTCTACCTTGCCTGTCCTCCTATACTTTCCACACAAAGGCTAGGATTGTTTAAGTGATTATTATCTGGAAAAACATAGCCTTGGGACTTCTTGATTTATAAGATTCCATCTTAAAGCTATAAAATTTAGTGATTTTTCCAACCTGACCAATATGATGAAACCCCGTCTCTACTAAAAATACACACACACACACACAAAATTAGCTGGGCATGGTGGTGCACACCTGTAATCCCAGCTACTCGGGAGGCTGAGGCAGGAGAATTGCTTGAACCCAGGAGGCGGAGGTTGCGGTAAGCTGAGATTGCACCACTGCACTCCAGGCTGAGCGACAGAGCGAGGCTCTGTGTCAGAAAAAAAAAAAAAAATCAGTGATTTTTGACAGTCTTCAGCAGCTGAATAACATTTGCAAGTTTTAAGTGACCTTAACTGAGAAATCCATGGGCTTGTTAGTGGGACAGCCAGGCAGTTGCTTACCAGGTTCGTTAAGCATTCCCTCTTAGCCTTGCTTACTGTTAGCAAAGACAAAGCTGCAGAAGGACCTGCTGTTTCCTGCATAAGCCACTTTCTCTGTGGCTTTACATAAACTATTCCTTGCGTAACTCCTTGGTCCCTACCCCTTCTTTATCAATGTATCTTTTAATTTCCTTCCTCTAACCTCCAACTTACCCTCCACCTTCCAACTATCTGCCGCCTCTTCCAGCTGTTCCCCCCACAACCCCCAATACAGAGGACATCTATCTCCTCCATAAAAAAGTTTAAAGAATGGATAAAAAAGGTCTGCTGTTAAAGTTAGTCAATAATCAACTTTGCGGAGTGGTGCCACATGGTTGCATGGTATTTAATAAAAGTTTCTTCACTTTTTTCCCCCCGATTTACTGCTTGTCTTTTCATTCACAATTTGTGTAAAATAAGTCTTGCACCAGTGAACCAGGGAACTTGTAGCTTGACATTAAGACACAGTAGCTTGTCAGTAATTGTTGCAAGCTCGATCTCCTGACTGCTTCAAACAGCACTTTCTCTGGTCAAAAGCCTCTCTTCATACACAAGAATTTCCAGAATTAACTTTTGTTTTGGAATGCCTGGCTATTGGAAATAAATGAGGAAGAAGGTACTCTTGAAAAATCTGTATTCACAATTAGAGCTGATAGGATAGGTCATTTCATTGTCATTCAAAACAATGTATGACAATTAATTTTAGATTTATTTTATCCTGTGTTCCATAAGTAAAGGATGTTCCTGTTTAATCTTTTGAGTATCCCATTGATTTCTGAAATACTGTATATATAAATATGACATCTCCATAGGACTTTAATATTTCATTTTTCCAGAACATGAAACGGGCACTAATTTTGTTGTGCACTAACTGTTAAGTTAAACTCTCAATAAGTACAACTTCCTTTATGTTCAAGTGGGAATATCATTTCTGCAAAGCTGCAGAGTTAAATGTTTTCCAAATACCAACTGAAATGTGCATAACAAGATTATTAGTCGCTAAAACAACGGACCTAAAGGTTGTTTTATTGATTTGGGATTTGATTTCTGACAAAAAAAATTATTATAGCTCAGTTTGAAGCCTTTGTGTTCCCTAATCTTTTTTCTTTTTACAAATGTTACTCTATTTTCACTTAGAGTTAATGCAAATTTTAAAAAATAACACAGCTAATCTACTACATTAGCCAAGAGAAAAAGACTTAAAAAAATAATAATGAGTTTTAGCCTCATTGCATATTTCAAGTACAAAAAAAAGAACAAAAGTACCGAATGCCTTCCACCTGGGTCTTGTAAATTATGGCTTTGGTGTCTATCAGGTGACTTTTAATGCTTGAGAGAATCATTTATGAGTAAAGAGCCAAGGGAATCCAACTGCACAAAGCAGATGGAAGACTGGGATGCTGCCAAGGGGCTGGGCAGAAGAATTTTTAGATTAGATTTTCCTAACAATAAATATCTGGGAAGATTTTTGTTTCCAGAGAGTTTACTAAAAAAACAGTTAGTCTATTTCTGTTCTGTGGCTACACAAAACTGTAAGGCAGATTTCTACAATACATAAAGGCATAAAATAGGCAATTTACATGTCTATATCTACTCTTTCTGGGCCACTGAAGCCCATTGAGACCCTCAGTGTCTGCCAACAGCTTATTAAGTCTCGGTTTCTTGTTTAGAACAGCCTGAAGATTGGATCCACAGGTAATTAATAAAGAAGGTACTCTATTAAATACATTATAAACAAGACTGTTGACATTCTTGAGTGTCTGAATGAAGTAATTCTTCTCCAGTTAAACGAATAATAAATGGACAAATGTCTTATTTCCAAAACAATTTTAGTAGATGTTTGCATTTTCTTTAAAAAAAATGAGGAAGAGTAGAATCCTTCAAAGAATTTGGATAGTCCCATCATGCTAACCTTGAAAGAAATAATATTTTACTAAAATATGCACTATTTTCTATAACATCTGTATTTATGTTACCATTTCACTTTTGGAAAATGATAATTATTTTCCAAATAGACAGAATGATCCCCCACCCCCGCTGCTTCATAAGTGAATGTATATAAAATTCTGCTTTTCACTTATTGTCTATCTATATACATTCATATAATTACACATGGTGCTAAAAAGTATGCCTTTTTACCTTTTAGAAAGTATTGCAGTCATTGGAAACTCTTAGATAAACAAGTCACTGGAAATAAACTTGATAGTAAAACACTGTGGTCCTGAAAATCTGCACACTACTTTATTTGGAAATAGTAGAATTTGCAGAATGTTGCTATAAAGGGCATGCTACTCAAATTACTTGGTTCTGAAGACTTTTACTATGAAAGCAAACTATTTTCTGAAGGAGTAGAGCACAAATAGCTAAATGTTTGGGGCAAAAAATAGAGTTATTATAATCATTTTGTAAAATTATTTCCAATTTCACCATGTGGGTATTGCATGTAATGTTTAAAAAAATGGTGTAACACGAGAAATGAGAGATGTCAAATGAGTGACTGATAGGTTTAAATTATTTATAACTATAGAATGCTGACTATTTTCTACAGTTGGGCTGTTCTTTAGAAAAAGAATAAAATTCAGGAAATTTCCTTTCGGCATAGGGAGATGTTTCAGGATATTAAAACCTGCTTTAGAAGACCACACTCCTGTCACAAATCTCATTTTCCCCTAAATTTCTTCAGTGTTTACTTGTTAGTTTGTCTTTTTCTGCCAGGGAAAGGGTGTGATGTTATAAATGTTCCCCTTTCTTCCCCTTTCTCCTGCTCCTTCTTCTCTGCTTCTTGCATTCTTGTTCTCTTTCTTTTCAAAATAATTGCTTGTTCATTCATAACATCTCAGAGTTGGGAAGAACTTAGAGACTCTAGACCAATGATCCATTCATCCATGAATCTTCCAAGTGGCCACACAGGCTCTGCTGGAATATTTTGGCAATGGAGAGTTACCTTATTAAGCAACTCAAATATCATTGTTAGAAAATTCTGTGTTATTTTGTGTTAGGATTTGTTTATCTGATTATCTATCTATCTATCATCTATCTATCTCTCTATCATCTATCTACCTACCTACCTATCATCTCAAATTAATTCTGCCTTTTGTAGTTTTTTAAGAAAAAATAATGTTAAATGTCAGCCTTTGAAGTGTTTGAAGGTGGTGTTTAATCACCATTCCCTCTTCCCACTTTATGTCTTTTCCAGCTAAGCAGCTCCATTTCTTTCAGTTGTTTTTCATGTGTCACTGTTTCCAAATGTTTCTTTTAATTTTCTTTTTCCCTGAACCTATTCCCATATCTTGTGACACTTGGTCTGGGGATAGAACAGTACAGGATAAAATAAGAAAACTGTATTGCCTTCTTTTTATTGATCTGTAGACTGTTTTTGTTTTTGTTTTTGTTTTGTCTGCTGTATCTTAATTGTTGAATCAAATGCATCTCATTTGAAATTAAATCTTTAAGTCTTTTGTACATTGCCTAGGTCGCACTGCTAGTGTGAAGTAATTGATGATTTGAACCTAAGGTAATTAATTATTCCTACTATATTTTCTCATGCTTTGAAATTCCTTTTACAAGTTTTCTGTGTATTACTTCACTGTTAATGTGTGGGTTTGTTTACACCTCTATTTATGGTCACTGATAAACTGTTGAAGGGTTGAGATCAGACTTATGAAGCATTCCAATTTAATGGCTATAAATACCATCTGTATACTGACGAGTTCTAAATTTATTGTTCTAGCTGTGCCTGTTTTCAAGCTTTGAATTGGTATATCCTGCTGAAAATTTTGATATTTCAAATTTCCTATGCCCCAAAACATGCCTCTGGATTTCTATCCTCAAATCTGATAATTCTGTGATCACACAATCAGTCAACCTCAAACACTACGTGCCAGCTTTAATTCCTCTATTTCCCTCATTACTTCTCCCATGAAGCCTGTTCTGCCTTCAAAATCAGTGCTTTCACCCTCTACCTTTTCACTTCTCCTCCCTGGTCTAAGTTCAGATCTCACTTGAGCAACCTCAACAGGGTCCGCGTTTGGATGTTTATTCCCACTCTTCTCTCATACGTTACTTTATCTACAGAGTAGCCAAAGAACCTTTAAATGATGCACAATTTAATAAATATTTTTGTTATGGTGTAATACATATACATACACACAGAAAAGTGATAAATCATAAGTATACAACCCAATGATCACAAGGAAAGCATGCCTTATAAGTTTCACTCAGATCAAGAAATAGAACATTATCAGACCTCAGAAGCCTGTCTCTGTCACCACCTGCATCCTTCTCCCCAGAAGTAACTACTGTCCTAATCTTTAACATCATGTATTAGATTTGCCTGTTTTAAATTTTTTTTGTAAAGAGAATCATACATATTACTCTCTTATTGTGTCTAGTTCATTTTGGTAAACATGACTGTGAGATTCATCCAAGTTGTAAGGTGGAGTGGTTCTTTCATCTTCATTTCATCTTATTTTTGGTTTTTGAACATGGTGTGTTATTGTATGAACAAGCCACAATTTATTTATTCGTTCTAATGATGATGGAATATGGACCACTTCCTGTTTGGGGATACTATGAATAATACTACTCTGAACATTTCTAAATATGTGTCTTGTGGTAGATGTATAAACATTTCTGTTGAGTTTATATCTAAGAAAAAATTGAGGCATTAAAGGGTAAATATACTTTCAACACTAGTAGTTATTGCTGTGTTGGAAGTGATTACATCAATTTACACTCCCACCAGCAGTGAATGAGAATTACAGTTACATTTTCACTATGTGTATATAAAACTTTGATTTTGAATAGCAAAAACAAAAAAATTATCTAAAAAAATTGATATTCAACAAGAGTAGAAGAAAATGTTGAGGTTGGCAATGTCTGGAGTAAAAGGTGACAAATCTCTGCTGTCATTTTAAAGTTATGAATTAGTGAAAAGCATAATTGGGTACTGGTTTGAAACTGATATTCTTTCCAAGAGGTGGGTCCCTGGCAAACACACACTCATAGGAAAACACAAGGGCCGAAACAATCAAACTTGCTAAAATATCTCTTTGGGGAATGAAAAATGCACTCTTACCCCCTCCACTTGTTTCCTAGGAAAAACCATCAAATGATGGAGAAAATATCTTGCTTTTCCAAACTGCCTTTTTTTTTAAAATTGTATTTTAGGTTCTGGGGTACATGTGCAGATCATGCAGGATTGTTGCATAGGTACATACATGGCAAGGTGGCTTGCTGCCTTCATCCCCCCATCACCTATATCTGGTATTTCTCCCCTCATTATCCCTCCCCATCCTCCCCAACCAGCTGTCCCTCCCCTACACCCCCCCCAACTGACCACAGTGTGTGATGCTCCCCTCCCTGTGTGCACACGTTCTAATTGTTCAACACCCGGCTATGAGTGATAACATACGGTGTTGGTTTTCTGTTCTCGTGTCAGTTTGCTGAGAATGATGGTTTCCAGACTCATCCATGTCCCTGTGAAGGACACAAACTCATCGCTTTTTATGGCTGCATAGTATTCCATGTTATATGTATGCCACGTTTTCTTTAACCAGTCTATTGATGATGGACATTTGGGTTGGTTCCAGGTCTTTGCTATTGTAAACAGTACTGCAATGAACATATGTGTGCATGTGTCTTTATAATAGAACAATTTATAATTCTTTGGGTATATATCCAGTAATGGAGTTGCTGGGTCAAATGGTGTTTCTATTTCTAGGTCCTTGAGGAATTGTCACACTGTCTTCCACAATGGTTGAACTAATTTGTACTCCTACCAACAGTGTAAAAGTGTTCCTATTTTTCCACATCCTCTTCAGCATCTGTTGTCTCCAGATTTTTTAATGATCACCATTCTAACTGGTGTGAGATGGTACCTCAATGTGGATTTGATTTATATTTCTCTAATGACCAGTGATGATGAGCATTTTTTCACATTTGCTGGCCTCAAAGATGTCTTCTTTTGTAAAGTATCTGTTCATATCCTTTGCCCACTTTTGAATAGGTTTGTTTTTTTCTTGCAAATCTGTTTTACTTCTTTGTAGATTCTGGATATTAGCCCTTTGTCAGATGGGTAGATTGCAAACATTTTTTCCCATTCTGTTGGTTACCAGTTCACTCCAATGATTGTTTCCTTTGCTGTACAGAAGCTCTGGAGTTTAATTAGATCCCATTTGTCTATTTTGGCTTTTGTTGCCATTGCTTTTGGTGTTTTATCCATGAAGTCCTTGCCTATGCCTATGTCCTGAATGGTTTTGCCTAGGTTTTCTTCTAGGGTTTTTATGGTGTTAGGTCTTATGTTTAAGTCTTTAATCCATCTGGAGTTAATTTTAGTGTAAGGTGTCAGGATGGGGTCCAGTTTCTACTTTCTGCACATGGCTAGCCAATTTTCCCAACACCGTTTATTAAACAGGGAATCCTTTCCCCATTACTTGTTTTTGTCAGGTTTGTCAAAGATCAGATGATTGTAGATGTGTAGTGTTGCTTCTGAGGCCTCTGTTCTGTTCCATTGGCCTATGTCTCTGTTTTGTTACCAGTACCATGCTGTTTTGATTACTGTTGCCTTGTAGTATAGTTTGAAGTCAGGCAGCATGATGCCTCCAGCTTTGTTCTTTTTTGCTTGGGATTGTTTTGGCTATGCGGGCTCTCTTTTGGTTCCATATGAAATTTGAAGTGGTTTTTTCCAGTTCTGTGAATAAGGTCATTGGTAGTTTGATGGGGATAGCATTGAATCTATAAATTACTTTGGGCAGTATGGCCATTTTCACGATGTTGATTCTTCCCAACCATGAGCGTGGGATGTTTTTCCATCTGTTTGTGTCCTCTCTTATTTCATTGAGCAGTGGTTTGTAGTTCTCCTTGAAGAGGTCCTTTATATCCTTTGTTCGTTGTATTCCTAGGTATTTTATTCTCTTTGTAGCGATTGTGAATGGGAATTCACTTTTGATTTGGCTCTCTGTTTGTCTGTTATTGATGTATAGAAATGATTGTGATTTCTGCACATTGATTTTGTATCCTGACACCATGCTGAAGTTGTTTATCAGTTTCAGGAGATTTGGGGCTGAGACGATGGGGTCTTCTAGATATACAATCGTGTCATCTGTGAACAGAGACAATTTGACTTCCTCTTTTCCTATTTGAATACACTTTGTTTCTCTCTAGTTAATATTAGCACTAGAACTTCCAATACTGTATTGAATAGGAGTGGTGAGAGAGGACATCCTTGTCTTGTGCCAGATTTCAAAGGGAATGCTTGCAGTTTTTGCCCAGTCATATGATATTGGCTGTGGGTTTGTCATAAATAGCTTTTATTATTTTGTGATATGTACCATCGATACCTAATTTATTGAGAGTTTTTAGCATAAAGGGCTGTTGAATTTTTTCAAAGGCCTTTTCTGCATCTATTGAGATAATCATGTGGTTTTTGTCTTTGGTTCTGTTTATGTGATGGATTACATTTATAGACTTGTGTATGTTGAACCAGTCTTGGAACCCCTGGGATGAAGCCTACTTGATCATGATGAAGAAGCTTTTTGATTTGCTGTTGCATTCTGTTTGCCAGTATTTTATTGAAGATTTCTGCATCGATGTTCATCATGGAAATTGGCCTGAAGTTTTCTCTTAGTTGCGCCTCTGCCTGGTTTTGATATTAGTATATATTGGTCTCAATAAATGAGTTGGGGAGGATTCCCTCTTTTTGTATTGTCTGGAATAGTTTCAGAAGGAATGGTACCAGTTCCTCTTTGTAAGTCTGGTAGAATTTGGCTGTAAACCCATCTGGATCTGGGCTTTTTTAAGTTGTTAGGCTATTAATTGCTGCCTCAACTTCAGCCCATGTTATTGGTCTATTCAGGGATTCAACTTCCTCCTGATTTAGTCTTGGGAAAGTGCAAGTGTCCAGGAATTTATCCATTTCCTCCAGATTTACTGGTTTGTGTGCATAGAGTTGTTTATAGTAATCTCTGATGGTAGTTTGTATTTCTGTGGAATTGGTGATGATGTCCCCTTTATCATTTTTTATTGCATCTATTTGATTCTCTCTTTTCTTTTTTATTAGTCTGGCTGGTGGTCTATTTATTTTGTTATCTTTTCAAAACACCAGCTCCTGGATTTGTTGATTTTTTGAAAGGTTTTTTTTTTGTGTCTCTGTCTCCTTAAGTTCTGCTCTGATCTTAGTTATTTCTTGTCTTCTTCTAGCTTTTGAGTTTTTTGATCTTGCTACTCCAGCTCTTTCAATTTTGATGATAGGGTGTCAATTTTGGATCTTTCCTTGCTTCTTACGTGGGCATTTATTGCTATAAATTTTCCTCTAGATCCTGCTTTAAATGTGTCTCAGAGATTCCCATATGTTGTGTCTTCATTCTCATTGGTTTCAAAGAACATCTTTATTTCTGCCTTCATTTCATTGTTTATCCAGTAAACATTCAAGAGCCAGTTGTTCAGTTTCTATGAAGTTGTGCAGTTCTGAGTTAGTTTCTTAATTCTGAGTTCTAATTTGATTGCACTGTGGTCTGAGAGACTGTTTGTTATGATTTCCATTCTTTTGCATTTGCTGAGGAGTGATTTACTTCCAATTATGTGGTCAATTTTACAGTAAGTGTGATGTAGTGCTGAGAAGAATGTATTTTCTGTGGATTTGGGGTTAAGAGTTATGTAAATGTCTATTAAGTTCACTTTGTCCAGATCTGCATTCAAGTCCTGGAATTCCTTATTGATTTTCTGTCTCGTTGATCTGTCTAATATTGACGGTGGAGTGTTAAAGTCTCCCACTATTATTGTGCGGGAGTCTAAGTCTCTCTGTAGATCATTAAGGACTTGCATTACGTATCTAGATGCTCCTAGATAGGGTGCTTATATATTTAGGAACATTAGCTCTTCTTGTTGTACTGATCCTTTTACCATTATGTAACGCCCTTCTTTGTCTCTTTTGATTTTTGTTGGTTTAAAGTCTGTTTTATCAGAGACTAGGATTGCCACCCCTGCTTTTTTTTGCTCTCCATTTGCTTGGTAACTCTTCTTCTATCCCTTTATTTTGAGTCTGTGTGTGTCTTTGCACATGGGATGGATTTCATGAATACAGCACACTGATGGTTCTTGGCTTTTTATCCAATTTGCCAGTCTGTGTCTTTTGATTGGGGCATTTAGTCCATTTACATTTAATGTTAATATTGTTATGTATGAATTTGATCCTGCCGTTTTGTTACTGGTTGGTTGTTTTGCCCTTTTGTTGGTGTAATTTCTTCATTGCATCATTGGTCTTTACCATTTGGTTCTTTTTGGCAGTGGCTGGTCCTGGTTTTTCCTTTCTGTGTTTAGTGCTTCCTTCAGGAGCTCTTGCAGGACAGGTCTGGTAGTGGCAAAATCCCTCAGCAATTGCTTGTCCATAAAGGATTTCATTTCTCCTTCACTTATGAAGCTTAGTTTGGCTGGATATGAAATTCTAGGTTGAAATTTCTTTTCTTTAAGGATGTTGAATATTGGCCCCCACTCTCTTCTGGCTTGTAGGGTTTCTGCCTAGAGATCCGCTGTGAGTCTGATGTGCTTCCCTTTGTGGGTGACCCAAACTTTCTCTCTGGCTGTCCTTAGTATTTTTTCCTTCATTTATACCCTGGTGAACCTGACGATTATGTGCCTTGGGGTTGCTTTTCTAGAGGAGTATCATTGTGGTGTTCTCTGTATTTCCTGTATTTGAATGTTGGCCTGCCTTGCTGGGTTGGGGAAGTTCTCCTGGATAATATCCTGAAGAGTGTTTTCCAGCTTGGATTCATTCTCCTCTTCATTTTCCGGTACACCAATCAGGCGTAGATTTGGTCTTTTCACATAATCCCATATTTCTTGAAGGCTGTGTTCATTTCTTTTCACTCTTTATTCTCTTTTCTTGCCTTTTCATTTTATTTCATTGATTTGATCTTCAATCTCTGATATCCTTTCTTCTGCTTGATCTATTCAGCTATTGAAACTTGTGTATGCTTCATGAAGTTCTTGTGCTGTGTTTTTCAGCTCTATCAAGTCATTTATGTTCTTCTCTAAGTTTGTTATCCTAGTGAGCATTTCATGTAACTTTTTTCAAGGTTTTTAGTTTCTTTGCATTGGGATAGAACATGTTCCTTTAACTCAGAAGAGAAGTTTGTTATTACCCCCCTTCTGAAGCCTGCTTCTGTCAATTCATCAAATTCTTTCTCCTTCCTGATTTGTTCCCTTGATGGTGAGAAGTCTTGAGCTCATGGTGGGGGAGAGACGTTTTGGTTTTTGATGGTTTCATTCTTGCACTGGTTTCTCCCCATCTCTTGGATTTATATAGTCTTGATCGCAGGTAGCTGCTTGGGGAGGCAGCCTTTCCTTTGCCTGCCTGTGGAGGTGCTGCTGGGCTGCCACAGATTCAGTGGAGCTGCGGCGTGTTTTATTTACTCAGGAAAATTAGGCCGGCCTCTGTAATGGCTGCTTCCCTTCTGCCTAGCTGGAACATTCCTGGTCGCTCTCTAACTGACGTTCTGGGTGTTTAACTCTGGAGTGAGAATTTTTTGGCCTGCTGGGCTTTGTGCGGTGGCAGGGGTGGGGTGGGGGGGGCATCATACCATTTGGGTATGATGTTTTCCTGTGTTCTGTTCCTCTTCTTACTGGGGGCGGGTAGCTCTGTCTAGCTAGCTTTTTGGCTTTCTTGGCATCCGCCAGTGCTTCCGCCTAGATCTATGCTGGCAGCCCCAGGGCCCGAGTTGCTCTTTTGGCCTGTTGAGGCAGCTTGCTGAGGCTTTTCAGCCCATTGAAGATCTCCTGTTCTGTGGGTTGTAGAGGGCTTGGGTAGAGTGCTGTATCCAACCGAAGTCCCAGAGTGGGAGATGTCCCAGTCCTCCGGTTGGTTGCACGCTCCTCCTGGGTGGGGCAGTGCCCCACCTTGCTGCAACTTGCCCTATTTGGTTTATACCCACTGTCCAACCAGACCCACAAAATGAACCTGGTACCTCGTTTGGAATTGTGGAGACCCTTCAGCTTCTGCATCTCTCTCGCTGTGAGCTGTTTTCTGGAACTGCCTCTTATTTGGCCATCTTGGGATCCTCCTCTGCCTTTTAACATATATTATTGTGAGCCAGTAGATCATTTTTCTCTGAATATGTTAACACATGCTTGCCTCACAGTTCTTCATTTGTGTACTTTCTATTTCTCTTGTCTTTCCTGTCTCTTCAGTCTAATTATTCACCAGGCCTTTATCTTCTCCAGTCATGTACATAAAGCTTAGCTTAACTACATAAACTTAAAATCTTTCTTTCTTTTTATTTTCTTTTGAGATGGAGCCTCGCTCTGTCAACCAGGCTGGAGAGCAGTGGTGCAATCTCAGCTCACTGCAACCTCCACCTCCCGGGTTCAAGTGATTGTACCACGTCAGCCTCCTGAGTAGCTGGGCTTAAAAGCATGTGCCACCATGCCTGGCTAGTTTTTGTATTTTTTT